CAAAATAAGACCACAAATCAGTAAGCATTTCAGTTAAATCAACCATAAGTTCATTCATAGTAAAGTGGAACCAAAGACAGATGCTGATTGTAAGACATCACCAAAACAACTTAATTATAGTTCATCATAATAGGCATGTACACTTTTCATAAGTCAAATGGGCAAATGACAAACATATTGAGAGCTCATGCCTTTTTCATAAACTACAGTCCAATATCATGCATTAAAGATATTTTCTAGCATTATACTTTACACATGAATTTAAATCTATCATACACCAGTAAGTTGAAAGCAGCAGCAGGTATCATCAGACAATGTTATAAAAGATGTACATCTAGGAACTGATGCAATTTAGATGAAGAAATGCTGAAGACAGTTTCTGAAACTACTATACTCATATTTGTTGAAGCATGAGTATCGCTTCGATGCACCGATTGATTCTGCACACTAATATTAGTTAGTAGTTACTAATAGCTCGTCCGGTTAGCGAGAACTACGCACTGATTAAATGTAACTTTGAAAGTAGTTAAGACTAGCATGTCCACGCAGGTACTACGCACTGATATAGCATGTTAGAATGTAAAATAACAAAAGACAAGCATAACAATGGTTTGCTGCTTCACAAGATGTACAGTAATGATTAATGTAAATATAGAGCTTTACCATGCGGTGAAGCAAAAGCCAACGGAGAGTGAAATTGCATTCTCTAATGACAGAAAGAAGACTCTGAGAATTATTGAGCACATACTCCTTGTTTATGGCATGCATGTGAATATCCAAGTCAGCTAAAAAATAAGGAACCTGGAGTTGAAAAAAAAACAGCATGCAGAAGTCAAAAAAAGGAAAGTGAGAAAATTTCAGGAAAAGAATACAGATAGTCAATCCAAGAGGAGCATAGAAAATTTCAAGTTCAACTAATTTATGAATTAGAGAAAAAAGTAGGTATTGAGCTGCAATTCACAATCAACATCCAAAACAGGAAAATCTTTGATAATAATAGAATAAAATGTTTTGCTATACTCACCTTTGTATAATGGTGAAGACTGATATCACGAATGGAAGTGGGAGAAAGGCAGGAAACTAATGATGACTTTGCTTCTTTGTATGCATCCCAAGAGACAAGTAAATCAACTGAGAAATGCAAGAATATGGGAACCACCTGAGTAGGTCCTCAGACTTCTGAATAGAAATAATGTCCGGGCTAAATGGTGATGAACCAGGACTAGCAGAAGTACCCGGGGTCGGCACATGCCGACGACAGAGCTCACATATCTGCTCCAGATTGGGATAGCTAAAACAGCGTTTGTACCGCAGGTGTGCCACAAGGAGCCTCTCGCGCAGCAACCCACCAATTTTGTGTTCCATTATAAGAATCATGCATCCGAACAGAGTCATTGACTCCACGAGTAACTGGCATGCGCAGTTATTCTCCAACACATGATCTAATGTGCAGTGGACATATAACCCTTCCTAAACATGAAAGAACACTCGTTTAGTGTCACTAAAATTGGGACTGGGGGCATCATGTTTGACGCTCTAGTTCATCTAAAAATATTTAGCAACAATGACATCAATCTACAAGTTACAAAGACACTGCAACGGCGCAAAGCCTAACCTGCAGATCATTCAGGTAATTGCAGAGCTCTCCGTGGTAAGTGACGGCGCCATCCAGAAAGGAGAAGAATATCTGCATGTAAGAGCCGCAGGAGTCACGGAGCTGATCTTCCAGTGCTTCCAGCTATTAAAACTTAAAGCTACGGTGGGTACTCGAGATGTGCAGATTTCTATCTACGAATAGGAGGAGAATTCACAAAGTTGCACTTTCGCATTGCGATGGTACGGATTTTATTATTTATGGCAGAGAACACAGCGAGAGATGTCACCGGAAGTCGAAGAGGACGGGGTCGAAGCGGCAGTCTGCGAACAGCGGAGGTGCGCGGTCGGAGAGCAGGAGCAGCTCAGCGATGAGGGCCTCTGCGCGCGCGCAGAAACCTAGGAGCTCCGGGAAGTCGCCGGCGTCGGTGCCAGAGGCGGGCGGGCGGCTTGTGCCAGTCTCCGCCATGGCTTGTGCCAGTCTCCTCCATGGCTTGTGCCAGTCTCCTCCATGGGTGGGCCTGTACCTGCAGCAAGAGAGCACTGCCGCGGGGGCTGGCAGCTTGCGCGAGGACGCCGGCGGACCTCCGTGGCCTATCCCTCGAGCGCGAAGACGGCGGGAGAGAGGGAGCGGAAGCGGAAATGCGGACCAGAGCGGCGGCGGCTGGGGTGAGACCGTGAAAAGTGAATGGGTTAGGGTTACGGTGCGCTGGGCCGGCGGGGTGAAATTCCTCCTTTGCCGAGTGCCCCGATCCGACACTTGGCAAAGTATTTTTTTATTTTTTCTTAATTCTGTGCCGAGTGCCACCTCGGCGAAGAAGTTTTTTTAAAAAAAAAATAATCTTTGCCGAGTGCCCTCGATCTGGCACTCGGCAAAATATTTTTTAATTTTTTAAATTCTTTGCCGAGTGCCACCCGGTCTGGCACTCGGCAAAGAGGAGATTTTTTTAAAAAAAATTAAAATTATTTGCCGAGTGTCATGCCTCGGCACTCGACAAAGTTTTTTTTGTTTTTTTTGTTTTTGGTCTCCAAATTTTTTGTGCAGCCCTTTTAGAGCACCAGAAACTCCTAGTTAGAATCTGGGTTTTTTTGTGGCTTTTTGATATATTTAGTTACTTTATTTAGTTTACTTGGAATTTTTTAATTTTGAAAAATATAATTTTGAACAACGTGTGAATACGAATAATGGAATTTAATGATTCAAAAATGATAGTCATATTCTTTGAGTGTAGTGTGAGGCCGTTATCTAGGAATGGACCTAAAATTTGGGACATCTTGTTCACGAAACATGACCATGCGACCTTATCGTGAGAAGTGTTTGTAAGCATAAATTCAACTAAAAATTCTCAAATTTTTATCACAAAATCACATATGATATCATGACATCTTGACAAGTTTCATAATTTTCGGACTTCGCTTGCTTTTTATAGAATTTAAAACAACTCGATCGCAAGTTCGTGGTCATGTTTCGTGAACAAGATGTTCAAATTTCGGATCCGCTCTCTACATGTGATACTCATATCACACTACACTCAGAATATGACTATCATTTTTTGAATTATTAAATTCCATTATTCGTATCTAATGCAAGCTTTCAAAATTATATTTTTCGAAAAAATTCAATTAAACTAAATAAAGTAACTAAATATATAGAAAAGCCAGAAAAAATACCCAAATTCTAACTAGGAGTTCTTGGTGCTCTAAAAAGGCTGCACAAAAAATTTGGAAGCCAAAAACAAAAAAACAAAAAAAACTTTGCCGAGTGTCGGGGCATGGCACTCGGCAAAGGGGGTCTTTGCCGAGTGCCAAGAATAAGGCACTCGACAAAGAGGGTTTTGAATTTTTTTTAAAAAAATTTCTCTTTGCCAAGTGCCTTCACAGGGGCACTCGGCAAAGACATTTTTTAAAAAAAATTAAATCTTTGCCGAGTGCCTGTCAGGAGCACTCGGCAAAGTATTTTCAAAAAAAAACTTTACCGAGTGCCAGATCTGGTACACTCGGCAAAAAAATATCAAAAAAAAATTTAAATCTTTGCCGAGTGCCAGATCTGGGACACTCGACAAATAATTTTTTTTTAAAAAAATCTTTGCCGAGTGACTAACAGCAGGCACTCGGCAAAGAAGGACGTGGCCGAACACCATTACGCGGGGCAGCCTATGCCGAGTGCCGCGCTTTTGCCGAGAGTCTGGCACTCGGCAAAGAAGTCCTTTGCCGAGTGCACATTTTTGCCGAGTGCCTGGCACTCGGCAAAGAACTCTTTGCCGAGTGCAATTCTTTGCCGAGTGCGGCACTCAGCAAAGAAGGTCTTTGCCGAGTGCCCGATTTTTAACACTCGGCAAAGAATTTTGCACTCGGCAAAGGCTCTGTTTCCAGTAGTGTAGGCACATGGATGACAATCTATAGGCACTAGAGTGTCAGGTTTTTCTTTTCCTGTTTTGTATAAGCTGTGTGCGTTATGCCAAGGCTGGAAGTAGATCATAGTTATTGTATTAATTTGATGTAAGGATCTTGAATTAATAAAGCCATTTCTTTATAAAAAAAAAAAAAGAGCTCGAACCGATTGGACGACTAGAAATCCGATTCAAAATGACGACTATATGAAATAGATAACTTTTTTTATATGAAATCGGTGGACAAATTTTGTATAGAAATTATAGAGCTCGACCAGATTTTTTTTTTCAATTTAAACCATATAGGGGTCTAATTAAATATTCGTGAAAAGTTATCGTATAGTTTATTTTCAGAAGCAGTTGCTTAACTTGACCAACTCTCTGAAAATGATTTCTAGATCAGATGGTAGACTTAAAAGAACCATCACTGAAAATAGTCTCGATTGATGGTTCAAAATAAATGTTTCTAATGTTGATTTAAAAAAAATAGCTTTTGCAGTGTAGTGGTAAGAAAAGCTAGCGCTAGGGGGAAGATTCTCTGGTTCGAATTCTTGGAAACACACAAATGCGTATTTGGCACAAAATTAAAATTTCATGCGACTTGGTAGGCGCGGGTCTTAGCTTAACACTGATCGAGGCTGCATGCGATGATATTCATTCTCCACCACTTACATGTACAGATGATGCTTCATCAAGGACGACCATAAACACGCGCTCCTTCTACTTCCATATATAGAAAGGGAGCCTGAGCAACAAACTTAGCAGGCTTTAATTACGTAAGCTTATGTGCTTAAGCCTGTAATAAGCTGGATTGCAACTTGCAATCTTGCCTTTATTTGCATTGGATAAAAAACTAGCTCATCTCCGTATGAGCTAGCTTAGCCTGTAGAGTTGTAGTAGATACGTACGGTACGGTACGACTTGGGCAAAAGACAGGCGGGCCACAAATAGTACTAAAAGAGATGGACTGAATGAAAGCAGCAGCTGCACGTCGACGCTCGTGCTCATGGCTCAGGCTCAGCACGCGTTGCGGCGGAAGCCAACAGCTCCGCCACCGACGTCGTACACCACCTCGATGGTCTGCTGCTGCACGTTGCCGAGGATCCCGGCCATGCGGTCGTCGGCGTTGGCGGCGAAGGCGAGGCAGCCGTTGAAGAGGATCCCCGACGGGTCGAGCTCCACGGCGGCGTTCCGGTCGAACACCAGGGCGATCCTCGGCACCTTGACGCTACGGACGCCCGTGAAGTCGTAGCACGTGTCCAGGATACCCTTGGGCGCCGCCATGCGGTACGTGCTCATCCTGCTCCTGAACGCCGCGCGCAGCGCCTGGTACGCCGTGGGCGGCAGGCGCGTGATGGCCGTGCGCGAGTCCAGCACGGACCCCGCAGCGAACACCGCGGGGGCCACGTTCAGGCGCTGCCCGGCGACGACGATGTCGCGGAGGAGCACGCGGTAGAACGTGGGCACCCGCGGGTCCCTGAGCATGGGCGTCACCACGAACCTCGACGCCGCCACGCGCGGAGCGCCGAGCACGAAGAACCCGAGGTAGCTCGCCGTCGGCGGGAGGCAGTAGGCGAACACGCTGCCGTAGGTGGCCGCGGTCTGGGAGGCCAGCGACTCGGGGCCTCCGCCGAGCGCCATTATCCCCGCGGTCTGGGTGTCGAAGTTGCCCTGGTCCACGTGGCTGCACCCGAACTGGAAGTTGCTCACCCTGGTGGTTGGGTTCAGCGTCAGGAGGTCGGAGCTGTACGTGCCCGACGTCGACGAGCCGTCGGGGTAGGTGACGCGGTACTGGCACTGGTTGTTGATGCAGCCGTTGGCGTAGGGGCCGAGTTGCCTGCAGGCCGGGGAGTTGCAAGGGAAGGCGGCGTACGTGCCGGAGTTGGTCGGGTCGTAGAAGGTGTCCGTCTGGGGGTGGCACGGCGGCACGGGGCAGGGCACGCACTGCACCCACGCCACGTCGCTCGCCGTGTCCAGCACCACCGTCTGGATCACTCCCGGAAGGAGCCCACCGTCACCGCTGGTCGCCGCTGGATCAATGCTCACCTGAGAGCCCTGTTGCTTCTCATTTGTTGGCCGGTTCCGCGTTCTCGAGCCCCATTGAGCGCGGACTTTTGCTTGGTAGCTGGTATCCGTCTCGCCGGAGGTACCCGCCTGTCCCTTGCTTTCGTCATAGGTCGAGTTGGGAGACTGCAGCCTCCTCTGGACATCATCGGCGCGTAGCTGGTCCTGGCGAAGTAGATCCACCAACGACGGCTGCACGCCGGCAGCGGCAGCGGCGTTCGAGTCCGACGACGAGCACGGACCGTGCTGGAAATCCAACGGTACCCAGCTTACATTGGCGGGCGGAGTCACTGTCGTCATAGTGCAAACGAACGGAACGGGAATTGATTAATAATAATAAGTATATGATATGTATATACACACAAGGAAAACGAACCATATATAGCATGACATCAACATATATACTGTACATAACATACCCCTGTGTCCCAAGCATGCGGCTCCTGGTTTCAGGGTGCTCATTGCTACGACTGTGTACTGGAGTTCGGCATCTGCTGCTGCACAGACAACCAGAGAAGGACCGGACACAAGCACATGTAATAGCAGTGGCAATAAGAGAAACATGGCTGGATATGTTGCCAACATGCTGCCACGGGCTATTGATGTGGTTCCGCGTCATCATATATATAGGCGTCAGTAAGCATCCATATCGGCAATTCAATCTATATATGCCGGGCCTCGTCGCACAAAAGAAAAGAAAAGAAAAAAAACAGGCATCGAAGAAGGAATATATAGGCCCCGTTTGGTAGAGCTCTTACCGGCTCCAGCTTATATATTTCTAGTAGTGGTAGATTTAAGTTGCCCATAAATATAATGCTTCCCCTGAGGCAGCCAGTTTAAGCCACCCGCCTCATCAAAATATTTTCAAAAGTTTACTGTTTCCTGGCCTTTTAAAACTCTGTTTTCCTGTGTATATTTATAATAATGAGTTTCTGATGTAGTTGAGTGACGACATGCAGTTAGCGCCTGTTGACACTTATTCGGTCACCACACCGGTAGGGGCTAGATCTCCCGAGGCCACACACGGCCGAAACACGCAGCAAAGGGAGGTCCCAGCGGCGAGGCCGACCAGTAGGTCGACGAGGCCGATTAGACACTCGTTCTTCGCCCGATAAACCCACGAATGCCTTCTGGGAAGACCCGTTGGGGAGACACATTGCGGGGGTGTTCTAGGATCGGCAAGGCCATCTAGAACGCTCACAAATCCCGTCAAGGGACATATAGGACAGAAGGGGGGTTGGAAGAGACGATAGGGGGTAAAAAGTGGGTAATATATTGATAAAAGTTCGATTGTGCAGTTGGAAACCTCAATTGGCCATATACCCTATATTTTATATGGAGTAGGGGTACTCTTATCCCGGTGAGAAACCAATGTGGTACTACTTTCAGGTCGGTTCATAGAGTTTTCCTTAAATTGGGCCAAAACTAGTATGAGTCAATTTTAAAATCGGCCTAGGCCCAATTTGAGTGTCAACAGCGCCATTTCAATATATACCTGCAATAAAACTCGCTATCAATGCATTAATTAGCTACACGGCACTTTCATGTAAGTTGGTGGTAATTCTCTCTTAACTAAAGGCCAAACTATTCATCAAATACTTTGAGTATGTGTGCACTTGATGTGCGTCCAACAGTGGCCTGGGTATGTAGCGTCTTCGGATAACATCGTTCTTTGACATGTTCATCTAAATTTCTTGAACGTACGTAGACGCATCTTCAATTTTCAAGAAGAATTCTTGTATCATCAAACCAGCCATCACAAATTCTGGTTCTTCAGTCTCTATCTCAATGGTCTTGCTAATAGCATCTGATTGAGTGTTTTATGTTGGGCTGATCATAAGTCGAGTGTGTGAACACTCAATGAAGAAATTTACTATTGAGTAAGGTGTGAAAACACCGAGGTAGAAGACAAGAATGGGTGGTCTGTGCCTTGATCAGGGACCCAGACTTGACATGAAGAATGCCCAACCGGCCTAATAGTGAGTCCCCCTAGTGTGCAGCAGCACTATATAAGGAGAGGTCCGCCCATGGACCTCTGAACCCCATCTTAAGGTTAGCCACTGATTAGGCAGCTACTGAAGCACTGGGAAGGCACTTCTACAACTTCTACTTATCAAGATCTTGCGTGCATCTAGTAGGACACCCTCCACGTGCTCCTCCCCGATGGGTCTTCCCGGGAGAAGTTCGGGAGTTTATCAAGGGAAGAACGGGCTCAACATCGGCCTAACCGGCCTCTAGATCGGTTTCATCGGTTCGCTCTGTTCTTCCTGCGTTGAAGGTCGTGTGTCGACTGCGGGCGTGCTAGTCCTTGCTGGTGTGTGATCCGGAGCACCTTTCGGCGTCAACACACTTTTTTGGCGACTCCACTGGGGAAGAAGAAAAAGAGTAAGATCCAATCCACTAGCGACATGTCGGATAACGACAAGACCAACCCTTTCAATCCTAAGAACGTCAACCATCCGACGTCCATGGATGAGCTTTCCGATGAGCTTAGCCAAAAGCTTCATGCCAAGCTCGATGCCGATGTGAAGGCTTTCTTGGAGACCTGTGAAAGGATCAAGATGCCCAAGAGGGGGGGATGAATTGGGCTAATTCTAAATTTCTTTGCAATAATTAAAACCGACGGTTAGCCCAATTAACCCCTTGTGCCTAAAAAGTGTTTCTAATTGTTCTACCGCACAAAAGACTTGCAACCTATGTTCTAATCCTACTCTAGCATGACAATTCTAAGAATGTAAATGACAAGAATTGAATTGCTCAAAGTTAATGCACAAAGTAAAGAGAGGAGGAGGAACACGGCGATGTTTTGCCGAGGTATCGGAGAGTCGCCACTCCCCACTAGTCTTTGTTGGAGCACCTGCGCAAGGGTGTAGCTCCCCCTTGATCCACGCAAGGATCAAGTGCTCTCTACGGGTTGATTCTTTGACACTCCGTCATGGTGAATCACCCACAACCGCTCACAACTTGAGTTGGGTCATCCACAAGCTCTCCGGATGATCACCAAGCTCACAATCACCATCAAGCCGTCTAAGTGATGGCGATCACCAAGAGTAACAAGCACGAACTCTCACTTGACCACAACAAGCCTAGGGAGAAGGGTGGATGCAAATTTTGCTACTCTTGATCTCACTAATGAGGGCTCTCTTTGGGATTCTCAAATCTCAATCACCTCACTAGGACCTTGCTCTTCTTGGCACTCTCAAACGTGTTTCTTAGTTGTTGGAATGAGCAAAAGTACCCCACACACGAGTGGAGGTTGTATTTATAACACCGGCTGAAAAATGAACCGTTATGTGCCTCTGCGGGGTGACCGGACGCTCCGGTCAGTTTTCCCCAATCTCCAGTGATCACAGTGTGACCGGACGCAGGCCAGCGTCCGGTCAGCACTGACCGGACGCGTCCGGTCACGATTTTCCCTCTCTGGAATCTTACTGGAGTCGACCGGGCGCTGGCTCTCAGCGTCCGGTCACTTCACCTCTCAGCGTCCAGTCGCACCGAATGTTTTCACCTTGGTCAAATGAACTGACCGGACTCTGCGCCGGTATCCGATCAAACCAGAACCAGCGTCCGATCAGTACTTGACCCTCCATTCACTTCCAACTCTCGATCATATGTGAATGAAGTTTGCTCCAATGGATCTTAGGCATATTTAGGAGCTACCTAGTGCTAGTTTTTACAAGTGTGCACCACACCTAACTCACTAGACTCACCTAGGTCAAGCTACCCGTCCATACTCCCCTTAATAGTACGGCCAAAGGAAAAACAAAGTCCTAAACTACTCTAAGTGTCTCTCCAACTCCAAACGACACTTAGAACTAGTCCATCCTTAACCTTGTCGTCCATCCTTTGAAAACCGAAACAATTTCCATCGTAGGGGCATGAACACCATGATTGCCCAATCGATCTCCATTACCGTGACCTAACTTAATTGCCTCTGCAAAACACACGTTAGTCACAGTAATCACGTGTTGTCATTAATCACCGAAACCCAACTAGGGGCCTAGATGCTTTCAATCTCCCCCTTTTTGGTGATTGATGACAACACCACCTCGAGTATGTGAAAGAGATGATGTTTTTAACATGCTTGGTTCATATAAGCTTTTGGCAATAAGAACAAAAGTGTTAGGCAAGCTTATGTGACCCAAGCCAACATAATGTACTCAAATGATATGAAATAAGCATGAGTACAATAAGAAAAGCTCATTTGCATCAGAGTAAAACACGGAAGCAAAGACAAATGTGCATAGCATAAGTGATATGACATATAAATAATTCAAAGTAGAGAGCACACATGTCATATATCACGATCACGTAGATATCACTATCACATAAATATAGTTTAATGCATGAAAGTAAACACATGACGAATGCATAATAGTGTATCACACATAAAACTCCAAATGTAATATATAATAAGCTAATAGATAACTAAGCTGCCCCTAAATGTCGCTCCCCCTAAGGCTAACATACTCGAACCATCTCCCCCTTTGGCGTTAAACACCAAAACCTAAGGGTCAGTCGGCGGCGCTGCAGCGGATGAGTCAGGCGCTGAGGTACGAGGAGCAAGGTGGAACTAGGAGCCATCATCATCTGACCCTGAACTCTAAGCTATCTGACCCTCTGAAGCTGATAGCGACGCTGAAGCGGTCTAGGTCGGATCAGGGACTGGAGCGGCCTATGACTTTGAAGGTATGTCTATAGTAGGCTCTGATGATGCCACTGAGGAAGGGAGCGTCTCTGTAGTCCCGGTAATAGGTGCAACTATAGAAGGACATAGGACATGTAGATATGGAGGAGTAGGCATCCCTGTCAACTCACTAAAGGAAGCACCAAGGCTCCTGGACACTGTGGTCTCTGGCACTAGCAGCGAGGGTGTCTCATCCGGTGTGAAGCCCGTCTAAAGAGGTGTGAACTATAGGGCTGGTACTGACATAGCAAAATACTAGGACACCTGCTCTGTCGGTGAAGCGAACTGTGCTGGTGGCTGCCCCTGACTCTGAAGCCCACTAGGCTATAATACTGGAGTCATAGAAGTAGTGGCAGTCTGACCAAGCTGGGGCAAAGGCTGTGGCTGTGGAGCCCCAATAGCTGTCACGACATGCTGCATAAATCCAAGTAGCTGCTGCTGCATGAGGATCTGCTGCTGATGCATGGCCTGCCTCATCCACTCAAGTATAGCATGGAGAGCGGGGTCGGTCTGCTAGGCAGGTGGAACTAAACTGGAGCTGCTGACCTCATGGTCATGTCACTGAGCGGGGTCGATCAGCAAGCATCTCTAGTGGCCTCACAATAACCGCCCT